CGGGGAGGTTGTCCTGTCTCACTCCCCCGTCTCTCGGGGAGGTTGTCCTGTCTCACTCCCCCGTCCTCTCGGGGAGGTTATCCTGTCTCACTCCCGTCCTCTCGGGGAGGTTGTCCTGTCTCACTCCCATCCTCTCGGGGAGGTTGTCCTGTCTCACTCCCCGTCTCTCGGGGAGGTTGTCCGTCTCACTCCCCCTCCTCTCGGGGAGGTTGTCCTGTCTCACTCCCGTCCCATCGGGGAGGTTGTCCTGTCTCACTCCCCGTCCTCTCGGGAGGTTGTCCTTGTCTCACTCCCCGTCCTCTCGGGAGGTTGTCCTGTCTCACTCCCGTCCTCTCGGGGAGGTTGTCCTGTCTCACTCCCATCCTCTCGGGAGGTTGTCCTGTCTCACTCCCCGTCCTCTCGGGAGGTGTCCTGTCTCACTCCCCAGTCCTCTTGGGGAGGTTGTCCTGTCTCACTCCCCCGCCTCTCGGGGAGGTTGTCCTGTATTCACTCCCATTCCTCTCGGGGAGGTGTCCTGTCTCACTCCACCGTCCCTCTCGGGAGGTTGTTCCTGTCTCACTCCCCGTCCTCTCGGGAAAGGTTGTCCTGTCTCATCCCGTCCTCTCGGGAGGTTGTCCTGTCTCACATTCCCGTCCATCACGTCGGGAAGGTTGTCCTGTCGCACTCCCGTCTCTCAGGGGAGGTTGTCGCTGTCGCACTCCCGTCGCTCTCGGGGAGTTGTCCTGTCTCACATCCCACCGTCCCTGCTCGGGGAGGTTGTCGCTGGTCGCACTACTCCCCGTGCCTTGCTAGGGGAGGTTGTCCTTGTCTCATCTCCCCCATCCTCTCGGGACGGTTGTCCTGTCTCACTCACGTCCTCTCGGGGAGGTTGTCCCTGTCTCGCTCCGTCCTCTCGGGGAGGTTGTCCTGTCCTCACTCCCCGTCCTATCGGGGAGGTTGTCCTGTCTCACTCCCGTCTCTCTCGGGGAGGGTTGTCCCTGTCCCTGTACTCACTCCCCGTCTCTCGGGGAGGTTTGTCCGGTCTTCACTCCCGTCCTCTAGGGGAGGTTGTCCTGGCTCGCTCCCCCGTCCCATCCTCTTGGGGAGGTTGTCCTGTCTCACTCCGTCCTCTGCGGGAGGTTGTCCTGGTCTCACTCCGCGCGTCCTCTCGGGGGAGGTTGTCCATGGCTTCACTCCCCGTCCTCTCGGGAGGTTGTCCTGTCTCACTCCCGTCCTCTCGGGGAGGTTGTCCTGTCTCACTCCCCTCCTCTCGGGGAGGTTGTCCGCTGTCTCACTCTCACGGCCCCGTCCTCCTCGGGGAGTTGTCCCTGTCCTCACTCGCCATCCTCTCGGGGGAGGTTGTCCTGTTCTCCACTCCCCGTCCTCTCGGGGAGGTTGTCTTGTCTTCACTCCCGTCCCCTCGGGTAGGTTGTCCTGTCTCACTCCCCCGTTCCTTCGGGGAGGTGGTCTGTCTCGCTCCACCGTCCTATCGGGGAGATTGTCCTCTCTCACTCCCGTCCCGCTCGGGATGTTGTCCTGTCGCAACTGCCCCATAGCCTCTCGGGGAGGTTGTCCTGTGCTCACTCACCAGTCCTCTCGGGGAGGTTGTCCTGTTTCAGCTCCCCGTCTCTCGGGAGGTTGTCCGGTCTCACGCCCACCGTCCGCTCCGCTCGGGGAGGTTGTCGCTGTCTTACTCCCCATACTGCTCGGGGAGGGTGTCTGTCTCACTCCCCAGGGCTTCGGGAGGTTGTCTGTCTCACTCCCCGTCCTTCTCGGGGAGGTTGTCCTGGTCTCATCCTACTGGGCTCTGGGAGGTGTCTGTCTCACATCCCGACAGTCCTGCGCGGGAGGTTGGCCTGTCTCACTCCGCCCGTCACTCGGTCGGGGAGATTGTCCTGTCTCAGCTCCCGTCTCTATCGGGGGGATTGTCCTGTCTCACTCCCGTCCTCTCGGGGTAGGTTGTCTGTCTCACTCCGCATCCTCATGCGGGGAGTTGTCGCTGTCTCAGCTCACCCCGTCCTCGCGGGGAGGTTGTCCTGTCCTCACTCCCCGTCCACTCGGGAGGTTGTCCTGTCCACTCCCATCCTCTCGGGGAGGTTGTCCTGTCTCACTCCAGTCATCTCGGGGAGGTTGTCCTGTCTCACTCCCATCCTCTCGGGGAGGTTGTCATGTCTCAACTCCCGTTCCTCTCGGGGAGGTGTCCTGTCTCAACTCCCCAGTCCTCTCGGGGAGGTTGTCCCTGTCTCACTCACCGTCCTCTCGGGGAGGTTGTCCTGTCTCACTCCCCCGTCCTCTGGGGAGAGGTGTCCTTGTCTCACTCCCGTCCTCTCGGGGAGATGTCCTGTCTCACTCACACGTCCTCTCGGGGAGATTTGTCCTCGTCTCACTCCCATCCTCTCGGGGATGTGTCCTGTCACTGTCTCGGAGGTGTCCGTTCCATCCCGTCCTCTCGGGGAGGTTGTCCTGTCTCAATCCCCGTCATCTCGGGGAGGTTGTCGTCTCACTCCCCAGTACTCAGGATGTCCTGTATCAATCACCGTCCTTCGGGGAGGTTGTCCTGTCTCCACTACCTGCCTCTCAGGGAGGTTGTCCTGTCTCACTCCCCAGTCCTCTCGGGGAGGTTTGTCCTGTCTCACTAATGGTCTCGGGAGGTTGTCCTGTCTCACTCCCCGTCCTCTCGGGGAGGTTGTCCTGTCTCACTCCCGTCCTCTCGGGGATGGGTTTCCTGTCTCACTCCCCCGTCCTCTCGGGGAGGTTGTCCTGTCTCACTCCCGTCCTCTCGGGGAGGTGTTGTTATCCCCGTCCCTGTTCCTGTCTCACTCCCCGTCCTCTCGGGGAGGTTGTCCTGTCTCACTCCCGTCCTCTCGGGGAGGTTGTCCGTCTCACTCCGCCCTTCGGGGGTGCCGTTTGTCTCCTCGTCCTCCCGTCCTCGGGAGTGTTGTCCTGTCTCACCCCCCGTTCTCTGGGGAGGTTGTCCTGTCTCACTCCGCCTCTCGGGGGTTGTCCTGTCTCACTCCCCCGTCCTCTCGGGGAGGTTGTCCTGTCTCACTCCTGGGCTTTCGGGGGGGTTGTCCGGTCTCGCTCCTCGTGTTCTCGGGGAGGTTGTCCTGTCTCGCTCCTGGGTCTCGGGGGCAGACCGTGGACGGAGCCGTCCCGCTTACCTAATGGGAAGCCTCGTGGTGCAGCAGGTGGTGCCTGCTCCCGAGAGCACCAGAGGCTTGGCGGGGGCGGGGGCGGCAGGGGTTGGGGGGGCACAGCTCCGGGCCTCCCGCTGGAACCTGTGGGTGGGAAGTCTCGCGCCTTCACGCCGCGGTCGCGGTTGTCGTTGCAGGACGGGCCAGGACAGCCACGCGCTGCTGCCGGCCGGCCAGAGGCAGCTGCTGAAGTGGAGCGTGCCGCTGGGCCACGTGGCGGTCGTCGAGTACGGCCACCCCGAGGGCGCCGCCGAGCACCCCCCCGAGAGCCTGGCTGTGGTGGCCAACGCCAAGCCACGTAAGTGACCTGCTCGCTGGCGGCGTGGGCGGCGTGGGCAGAGCAGCCTGGACGCGAGATATGGGAAACGTGGGTGACACCGTTGTCGGCGGACAGGCTGACCTGCCGGGTTGGGTGCTGACCTCGGACTTGTCTCTGGGGCGGGCAGTGGGTTCCCGGGGCAGCCCCTGCATGTGGGCCGCTCCGCCCCCCAGGCCCCGTTCTGTGCTGCGTGTCCCGTGGCAGTTAGGACGCAGGCTCCCGCCTTGCGTGTGCACCGACTCCTTGGCCAGCGAGCCCTGGTCTGGGGCTGGCGCTGCTGCGGGCCGACGCCCGGTGCCTCCCCGGCCATGGAGGGCCCTGGGCTGTGAACTTCACAAGGGAAAGCGAGGCAGAGGCATCACACACTTTGGAAATGCTTCAGCCGTTGCATCGTATTCACGGTTATTTATGAATAGTCTTCAGGCTGCAGATTTTTAAAATTTATTCTTTAATATGTATGTTTATTGATTTTAGAGAGAGAGGGAGAGAGTGACAGAAACATCAGTGATGAGACACAATCACTGATCCGCTGCCTCCTGCACGCCCCACACTGAGGATCGAGCCCACAACCCGGGCATGTGCCCTGACCGGGAATCGAAATGTGACTGTTTGGTTCACAGGTTGAAGCTTAACCACTGAGCCATACCAGCTGGGCCAACTTTATTGTTGCCTTTTCTTAAGTGAAACAGTATGTTTAATGTAAAATATTTTTAGCTCATCACACACACTTTCCTTGACTGACAAACCCGGCGGACGCGTGTGTGATGAGTTGCTGGGCTCACTGGGCTGGGCACTGGTCGCTGCCCCGCAGCCGGACCTGAGGGGACACAGAATCCAGGAAACGGCTACTTTATTGGCCGTGAAGGCTCTCCTTCCTGCCTGGATCTGGAGCTGGGGCCCCGGGCGTGCATTTCCACGGAAAGTGGAAAGGAGGAAGCCATCTGCACACGGGCGGCTCTGAGCTCAGGTGCCCCCGGTCCGGCCCATGGGGTGGTTTCCGTGGTGACGGAGGTGCTGAGGTTCTGAGAGGTTTTAACCTGGGGAGTGCAAGTTCTCTGTAAATCTGAAGTTATCCCACATGATGAAAGGCTAATATGCAAATTGACCAAACAGCGGGACTACTGGTCGCTCAGTGCAGGAGCTGCCCCCGGTGGTCAGTGGGCTCCCACAGGGGGCGCTGCTCAGCCAGAAGCGGGGCTCACAGCTGTGAGTGCAGCGGGGGTGGCAGGAGCCTCTCCCGCCCCTGAGGCAGCACTAAGGATGTCCGCCAAGGGGTCCCAGGCTGTGAGAGGGCACAGGCTCGGCTGAGGGCCCCCCCCCCCCACAGTGCACAAACGTTGTGCACTGGGCCTCTAGTTTCAAAATAAAAAGAAAAGCTAACACTTCCAAATGCTTGAAGGTGTTTCCTGTTTAAAACTGGAAGCGAGCTGGCACTCACCCCGTCTTCCTCCCGGGCAGTGGCGGGCGCGGGCCCAGCCACCGCCTCCCGTGCGTGTCTTGCAGACAGAGTCCACGTGGGGCCCGGGCAGCTGTACCAGGACCTGCAGAACCTGCTGCACGACCTCAACGTGGTGGGGCAGATCGCGCAGCTCGTGGGGGACCTGCGGGGGCACTACCAGGTGAGGGCGGCCGCCGCCCTGGGGCTCTGTCTGCCTCCGGCCGGAGCCGCCCTGGGGCTCTGTCTGCCTCCGGCCGGAGCCGCCCTGGGGCTCTGTCTGCCTCCGGCCGGAGCCGCCCTGGGGCTCTGTCTGCCTCCGGCTGGAGCCGCCCGGGCCCACGGGTGGTACCAGACGAGGTTGCAGTGAGATCCGAGCGGGTCGTGTCTGCCCTGGTTTGGGGGGAGGGGAGGGGAGACAACGTCCCTTCGCAGACCCCAGGGGTGAGTTGTCATGGAAACACTCAGCACCACCACACGGCCGCCTCCCAGGCTCTTCCTCGTTGTCAGACCCCAGACCCCCGGTTTCCGTGAGACAGCCTTGCTCCCTGCAGCCTCCCAGCCCCCTGCATGGCCCCATCTCACTTTAGAATGCGCTGCGTCTCCCCGCAAGCTTCCCACCCCAGCCTCTCCTCAGCGAAGGGGAATAAGCCCGTCAGAGAAAGACCAGTGTCACACGATCCCACTCATACGTGGAGTCTAATGAACCCAATGAACTGATGAACAGAAAACATCCATGTCCTAGCTGGTGTGGCTCAGTGGATAGAGCGTCGGCCTGTGGACTGAAGGGTCCCGGGTTCGATTCCGGTCAGGGCACATGTCTAGGTTGTGGGCTCGATCCCAGTAGGGGGCGTGCAGGAGGCAGCCAATCAATGATTCTCTCTCATCATTGATGTTTCTCTCCCTCCTTCTCCCGTCTTCTCTGTCATCAATAAAAATATATTTTAAGAAAATACCCAGAGGTGCATGGAACAGGCTGCGAATCTCAGAGGAAAGGCAGGGGGTGGGTGGGTGGGAGAGAGCAGCAAAGACCTGGCGTGCACATGGGCGCGGCCCACAGGCACAGCGGACGGGGTGAGGGGCGGGGGGGCAGAAGGGGCCTCTGTCACACTGTCGACAAAGATAAAAGAAGAAAAGTGAAAGTGAGATGCGCGCGTGTCCGCCTAGAACCTGAACCAGGCCGTGGCCCACGACTGGGCGTCCGGGCTGCAGAGGCTGGTCCTGCGGAAGGAGGAGGAGATCCGCGCGGCCGACTGCTGCCGGCTCCAGCTGCAGCTCCCGGGCAAGCAGGACAAGTGAGTGTCCCCGCCGCCGCCCTGGGACGGGCACGGGGAGGGGCATGCGGGACCCGCGGCGCTGAGGCCCCTGAGACCTGAGCCCTCCGTCCCCGCAGGTCCGGGCGGCCCACCTTCTTCACGGCCGTGTTCAGCACCTTCACGCCCGCCTGCAAGGAGTCCTGGCTCAGCAGCCTGCAGATGGCCAAGCTCGCGCTGGGTAAGGCGTGTCCCCTAGGCGAGGCGTGTCCCCTAGGTGAGGCGTGTCCTCTAGACAAAGCGTGCCCCCTAGACCAGTGGTCGGCAAACTGTGGCTTGCGAGCCACATGTGGCTCTTTGGCCCCTTGGGTGTGGCTCTTCCACAAAATACCGACTTCTGCGCATGGGCCACGAAGTTTCAATCGCACTGTACGTGTGCGCCTGGCGTGGTATTTTGTGGGGGGTGGGGGGACGAAGGAGGAGGCACTGACCATGACCGTTCATCCCCCTGAAAATGGCTCTTGTTTTGTTTTTTAAAGATATGTTTTCACTGATTCCAGAGAGGAAGGGGGGGGTGGGAAGAGAGAGAGAGAGAGAGAGAGAGAGAGAGAGAGAGAGAGAGAAACATCAGTGATGAGAGAGAATCATGGATCGGCTGCCTCCTGCACGCCCCCCACTGGAGATGGAGCCCACAACCTGGGCCTGTGCCCTTGACCAGGAATCGAACTCTGACCTGGTTCATAGGCTGACGCTCACCATTGAGCTACACGGCCGGGCCCCCTAAGCATGTTTTTAAGCGGAAGCTCAGCCAGAGGAGGCATTGATGGAGCCTGTGATGGAGGGAGCGTGGGGAGAAAGCCCTCACTGCTCTAACGCAGCGGTCATGTCCGCTGACACTGTTCTCCCGTGCTCCAGCCCCGAGCCAGGAGCCCGGCCCTGGGTCCATGGGGGCTGGGTCCCGCCCAGTCTGGGTCCTGTGGTGGCTGGGTCCCGCCCAGTCTGGGTCCTGTGGTGGCTGGGTCCCGCCCAGTCTGGGTCCTGTGGTGGCTGGGTCCCGCCCAGTCTGGGTCCTGTGGTGGCTGGGTCCCGCCCAGTCTGGGTCCTGTGGTGGCTGGGTCCCGCCCAGTCTGGGTCCGTGGGGGCTGGGTCCCGCCCAGTCTGGGTCCTGTGGTGGCTGGGTCCCGCCCAGTCTGGGTCCTGTGGTGGCTGGGTCCCGCCCAGTCTGGGTCCGTGGGGGCTGGGTCCCGCCCAGTCTGGGTCCCGCGGCAGGACCCAGGGCTTGGCTCCACCGCTGCTCCGTCGCCCTCCCCTGTGAGCTGGAACGCAGGTGGGACGACCTCTCCAGCACTCCTCTCGCCCGCGGCCGCCAGCCTTGCCTCTTGGACACACACGGGGGGAGGGGGGGGGGAGGGGGCGTGCAAGCCGCTTACTGCTGTGAGTGTGAAGCAGTTTATCCTGTGCTGTTGATGAGTTGCTGCTTCATTTCCCACTCGGACAACAGGAAGCCGCCCGTGCCCGCCCTGTGTATGAAGCTGACTGAGATGTAGGGATGTGTATTATGTGATTCACACGCAGGGCAGGCGGCTGCTGCTCAGAGCAGGGGGGTGGGTGCAGGTGTAGAATTCTCAGACACAGTCACACCCCGATAGTAAGCCGTTATCTGAAGATAAAGGACAGCTGGGCCGTGGCTGTGGCCGTGGGGGCCGCGCTCGGCTGCCGGGAGCCGGACCCTGGACGGCCTGTATGGGCCTGCGTGGGCGCGGACGGTGGCGTGGCTCCTTCCCGCACGTGGAGGGTCCCCAGCCCGGCGCAGGGTGGCCCGCAAACAGGAAGTGAGCCTGAAACAAGCCGCTTCATTCTCGGTGCGATCCCGTGCTCACCGGAGCGCGAAGGCTTTGGGGGTGAACTCTCACTCCTGGTGAAAGGCTTCCTTCTCACTCTGTCTCTGAACTAAACAGCTCAGCTGCTAAAAAAAAAAAAAAAGAACAGAACAGAACAAAGATAAGAAAAAGCAGCCCACGTGCTCCCGCGGGAGGTCACGCCCCTCTCCCTGGGCGACCCCACCTCATCGCTCACCGGCGACCCTGTGAAGTGGGGTGGCGGGTGTGCCCCTGGAGGGAAGGGGGGTCCCGCTCCGAGATGAGGTAGGGGGTTCCCCGTCCCCCACCCGGGGAGCCCCCTCACGCCGTCCTCCCCCCTCCCCCCAACGCCACAGAGGAGGACAACCACCTGGGCTGGTTCTGCGTGGAGGATGACGGGAACCAGGTCAAGAAGGACCGGCACCCGCTCCTCCTGGGACACATGCCGGTGACGGTGGCCAAGCAGCAGGAGTGCAAGGTGCGGCCGGTCTTCGGGCAGCGTGGGGTCCCGCCAGCTCGGGGGGTGGGGGTGGGGGGGTCCTCGCCCCGCTCAGGGGGTGAGAGACGGGCGGGGGGCAGAGTCCAGTGCTGGAGGGCGGCGTCCCTGGTCAGCGCGGTCACTCCTGCTCTAGGGTCAGTATCAGGGTCCATGCGGGGTCCCCTGGTCTGAAGCCGTGCCCGCTGTGTCGTGGCGCCGGGTGCTGGGAGTGTGTGTGGAGCGGGATACACCCCACCCGTGGACGCTGTGCCACGCCCGGCAGCACCCAGAGTCCCGTGGGCCACGCTCCCGGAGCCATTCTGCTCACGTCCCCGCGTGGGCTCAGGCGTGCACGTGTCTGAGAAACCGGAGACCGTATTTCTCACGCTGGTCTCTGGGACACCCACGCCCGGAGGCTGAGGGGGACCCTTCCCCAGGGGGAGGCGGGCGGGGAGGGGACAGGGCCTCCCACCTCCACGCAGAAGCTGTCCCGCCTGGCGCCCAGGCCGCGACCCGTCCCGGCGGCCCTGGGTCCAAGATAAGACCCGAAAGACGGAAGCGCTCACGTGGTGTCCGCTCTGAGCCTGGGCCTCACCGCCCGCTGCCGTGCGGGTCACAGTGGCCTGGGCCTCTCGGGCTCGGGCCGGAGCCCGACTCCTGCCCAGGGTCACGGCTGCTCTCTCCCCTCAGATCGAGTGTGCCGTCTACAACCCCGAGCCCCACCCGGGCCGCGCAGGCCGGCCGGACCCGACGGGCGCAGCCCAGGGCTTCCTGTGGGTAAGATGCCGCCCGTGTCCACGCACCTGGCGGGCAGGTGTGTGGTGGGAGGGACGGGAAGTCACAGACCAGGACCTGCACTGTCCCGGGTCCGTGTCTACACGTGGCCCTGACCGGGAGCCCCCCGACGTCCGGGCAAGGCGTAGGGTTCTCAGCGATTAAAATGTTTGCCTCCTTTCTTTCTCCTCTGAAACTGCCCGACTGCATTCGGTCCAAAGACAGCGTAACTAAGCAAGCATCACTTAGCTGTTTCCCCCGTTTGGGTGGCTCAGGTGCGTGGGTCTCCTCCCCCCCTCCCCTTCCAGGTCCTTGCTGGCTTTTTACTGGGAACTTAGCCGTTACGGTGCCCGGGTGCCGCATGGAAACTGCACCTGAGATGCCACGATGGCAGGGCCTTTCTGGTTGGTGCACGCTGAGGTGTCCTGTGTCCCCGTGAGGAGCCCAGTGTCCTACTGGGTGCCGGCCCAGAAAGGCCCAGTGCTGACCGGACCCCTCCCCTCTCAGCTGGATGACCGGACAGACAGGCGTGTTGCCCTCGGGGTGTGAGAACTTTCAGAGGAATTTTTCCATGAATGGGGCCTGCAGCTGAGGCCTCCTTCCCTCTCCTGGCCACCCCCGCCCCATCCCACGCGCCCCCCCCGGCCCCCGGCCCCAGGCCGGCCCCAGAGCCAGTGGTCGGCCGTGTTTCCCAAAGGCTGTGGAGCAGGAAGCTCGTCTGTGACAGGAAACACAGGAAGTGTAGCGAGGGCGTCACAGCATCTCCAAACCCGGGAAAGGAAAACCATCCTCACCCGCAGCCAAACACCCGCACCCACAGCCCCACTCATGGGAGCCGGGCTCCCTCCCGTTAGCTCTTGTCCTAACGAGGCCTGGCTCTCCCACTGAAAGGCAATCGCATTTAAGCTTAAGTCGGGGAGGGGAGGGGACTTCGCGGGTGTCCCCTGGGCTCCAGCGAGCGGGAGGAGGGGCCACGGGGACTGGGCGGCAGGCCAGCGTGGGCAAGGCCGCAGCACCTGGCAGGCAGACGCTGCGGGCCACCTGGGGCCTTCCTACCGCTTCCCTCACTGTTTTTAAAAAATCCATTTGTTGATTTCAGAAAGGAAGGGAGAGAGAGAGGGTGAGAAAGAGAGAGAGAGGAGAGAGAGAGAGAGAGAGAGAGAGAGACATCCATGAGAGAGAATCACTGATCAGCTGCCTCCTGCACGCCCCACACTGGGGATCGAGCCCATAACCTGGGCCTGTGCCCTGACCGGGAATCGAACTGTGACCTCCTGGTTCCTAGGTTGATGCTCAGCCACTGAGCCACACCGGTGGTCCTCACGGGGACACAGGACACTTCAGCGTGCACCAACCAGAAAGGCCCTGCCATCGTGGCATCTCAGATGCAGTTTCCATGCGGCACCCAGGCACTGTAACTGCTAAGTTCCCAGTAAAAAGCCAGCAATGACCTGGAAGTGGGGCCGGGGGGGAGGAGACCCATGAAGCTGAACCACCCAAACGGAGGAAACAGCTAAGTGATGCTTGCATTTTGAAGCAGTTTTCCTAGTTAACGGCTGGTAAACTCTACTGTGAAATTTCCTAAAGTTGATATGAATCTGCTTCATAAGACTTTACATTGTGTGTGAGTATCATTGTATAGAGTGAGGTATATGGTTTTCAAAGCATACGGAATATTTAAAAAATCAAAACTCTGTTCTTGTTATCCAAATTAAAAGAAAAATAACCTGATTTTAAAAAAATCGATCTTTATTGTTGAATAGATCTTTATTGTTAATTTTTAAAAAATAGATCTTTATTGTAGAAGTATTAGGTATGTCCCCCTTTTCCCCCCATGGGCCCCCTCCAGCCAGCTCCCAGCCCAGGCCTTCCCACCTATTGCTGAAAAACCACCTAATTAACACGTGGAAAAGGGGGCTCTGTTAGCAGACCCTTTAAATACCACCAGGTCTTTCAAGTGTGGCGGCTTCTGGGACATTGGCCCTGGTACCCCGGTCAGTGCCGGTCTCCGGGGGCTGTGGGTGCATCACTCCCTGTTTCTTCCCTCCTGATCCCCCCCCCCCCCCCCCCCGCGCTCAGATCGGAAGTTGTACGGGTCAGATGGGCCAGATCGCCATCGTCTCCTTCCACAACTCCAACCCCAAAGTCATCGAGTGCTTCAACGTGGAGTCGCGCATTCTCTGCATGGTGCACACGCCCGCGGAGCGGGGCCCCCAGCCCAGCCCCGCCCTGGAGCCCGGGACCGCGGCCGGGAGTGCCCTGGGCGTCCCCACCGTCTGCCTGGGGACCGAGGAAGGAAGGTGGGTCCCCCCTTGGCCCCAGTCCCGGCACTGGTCATAGTCCCATCGCTGGGCCAGTGCAAGGCAGCAATCACGTCCGTCTGCGAGGCATGTGCGGGGAAGTGGAGGTGGTGTGGGTCCCACGTGTGTTTGGGGACAAACAGCCACAGTCTGCGTTGTCATGGATGCCCACGGACACGCCTCAGGAAAGCTAACGTGGCTCCTGACGCGAATTCCCAGCCGACATCAGAGGGACTAGTTTCTTTGAAGCCCAATATTTCTCCTCTACTTTATTTTATGAAAGAGATTTTTATTGATTTCAGAGAGAAAGAGAGAGAGAGAGAGAGAGAGACATCAATGAGGAGAGAGAATCACTGATCAGCTGCCTCCTGCACACCCCCACTGGGGATCGAGCCCACAACCCAGGCCTGTGCCCTGACCTGGAATCGAACTGTGACCTCCTGGTTCACAGGTTTACGCTCACCCCTGAGCCACACCAGCCGGGCTGCATTTCTCCTTTAAAATGCAAGAAAGAGGTCAAAGTGGTAGAGTCTTTAAGACACAGCTCGTGTTTCTGGAGGGAGTGGGTGTGGGCGTCCCGTGGGAAGCTGCGGCCTGGGCAGGGGCCACGGCACGGGCTCTGTGCGTGTGGGCAGGCGTGCTCACGGCCCGCCCTTCTCTTCCAGCATCTCCGTCTACAAAAGTAGCCCAGGCGCCAAGAAAGTGCGGCTGCAGCAGTTCTTCACCCCCGACAAGGCCACGGTCATGAGCTTGGCCTGCACGCCGCGCAACCTGTACGCGGGCCTGGTCGATGGGGCCGTGGCCGTCTACGCAAAAGCACAAGGTGAGGGGTCACGCGGGCAGGCGGCTGCCACAAGCAACGCCACAGATGCGCACGCTCGTGGGTCAGGGGCTGGGAGGCCTAGGTCGGGTGCCGCAGGTGTGGGGTCTGTCGGGGCCGCTGTTGCCTGCAGAGCGCGCCTTCTCCCCGTGACTCAGGGCCACCAGGGCTCTGGTCACCTGTTCCTATCAGGTGGGGTGGGGAACGTCTGGCCTGCGGGCCATATAAGGCCCATGCTATCATTTGGTCTGGTCCTACCAAGGCAATGGGGCGAGTTAGTTAAATGTTTGACCACATAGAGCACGCCCATTTTTAAGCTGATCATTTTGTATGGCCCACAAATGATGTTCTGAATAGCCACAGGGGCCTCAGCAGAACACAGGTTCCCCCCCTGCCCAGCCAGTGTGGCTCAGTGGTTGAGTGTCAACCTATGAACCAGGAGGTCATAGTTTGATTCCAGGTCAGGCATGCCCGAGTTTTGGGCTCCACCCCCAGCAGGAGGCAGCCAATCAGTGATTCTCTCTCATCTTTGATGTTTCTATCCCTTGTTCCCTCTCCATTCCTCTCTCTGAAATCAATAAAATATATTTTGTTGAGGATGGGAGAGGGAAAGAGAGATAGAAACATCAATGATGAGCGAGACTTGATGAGCTGCCTCCTGCACGCCCGCTACTGGGGATCAAGCCCACAACCCGGGCATGTGCCCTGACGGGGAATCGAACCCAGACCTCCTGGTTCATAGGTCGACACTGAACCCTTGAGCCACACCAGCCAGGCTTACGTAATTTTTTATTGCTCTTCACATTGTCTGTTGGCTCTCACCACATACACCAGGTGACACACCTCATGGGTGGGTCTCTGGCAGTATTTTGAAGCCAGAATACTTACTAGTCCCTGTGTTTCAGGACTGAAGCAAGTTCATAATTTTCCATGGAGATGTGTTTTCTCCCGGTAATACAGTCCATATCAAGGCATATTTTTAAATAAAAGGAGGAATGGGGGTGTTTAAACATTTGCCGAATTATTTTGAGTACAGTTCCTTTTATGATGACTGAGTCATGTCATACATATATGATTATTGTAAACTAGAGGCCCAGTGCACGAAATTCATGCATGGGTAGGGTCCCTAGGCCTGGCCGGCGATCAGGGCCATCAGGGCCGATCAGGTTCCCCGCCTCCCCGCCTCCTCGCCTCCTCCTTCCCTCGCCACCGCTGGTCACCCGCCACGTTCCACGCCGTCCACTGGTGGTCAGCGCAGGTCATAGTGAGTGATCGAATTCCCGTTCTTTCAGTCAAACTCCCAAGGGGACACTTTGCCTATTGGCCTTTTATACACCTAGATGGTGGTATTTATGGAACCTCTGTCTGCCAGGCCTGTGCTGGGCTTTTAATTGCATTATTGTCGATCCTACCACAGCCTTTCAGGCGGAGGAGGAAACAGGCTTAGGGTGAATAACGTGCCCGGGACACACCAAGCGGCTGTGCTGGGGTGGGCACGGCCGGCTGACCAGGTTGCCGTGACAACGGTGCCCACCGGGAACTCGAGACCCCCAGGGCCCACCTGAGCCGTGGGCCACAGCTGACACTGGGCTCTCTGCTCTTTAGGGTCGTCCGGGACCCTGCTCCCCGGTCCTGTGCCCGGCTCGCTGCCTCCGAATGACATTAACAGAAATGCTTCCTTTTAAGACGGATCCTGGGATTCCGAGCCTCAGAAAGTGATAAAGTTGGGCGTGCTGCCAGTCCGGAGCCTGCTGATAGCGGAGGACACCCTGTGGGCGGCCTCGGGAGGCCAGGTCTCCATCGTCAGCGTGGAGACGCACGCCGTGGGGGTGAGTGGTGGGGAGAGGCTGTGCCGAGTCGGGAGGTGCCCCCAGGAGGGTCCCGGTCCCCATCACCTTCCAGGGCTGGAGGTCGGGCCTCCCTCCCGCAGCAGCGCCCTCGCCCTGCCCGAGGCTCGGAATTCCTTCTGATTCCGATTCCGTAGGAAGGGGATGCCCAGGAAGGTCCAGTCCTGGTCTAGCCACTGACCCCGAGTCATTGTCGCCGTTTCCTGTGAAGACTGCATTCAATGTGAACATAACAGTCCTCAAGGTCCTGAGGATGGCTGCTGGTGACCTGGGATTGGGTAGTTCTATATGCAGATGAGGATGGCTGCTGGTGACCGGGATTGGCTAGTTCTATATGCGGATGAGGATGGCTGCTGGTGACCAGGGATTGGGTAGTTCCATATGCGGATGAGGATGGCTGCTGGTGACCGGGATTGGGTAGTTCTATATGCAGATGAGGATGGCTGCTGGTGACCCGGGATTGGGTAGTTCTATATGCGGATGAGGATGGCTGTTGGTGACCGGGATTGGGTAGTTCCATATGCGGATGAGGATGGCTGCTGGTGACCCGGGATTGGCTAGTTCCATATGCGGATAAGGATGGCTGCTGGTGACCCGGGATTGGGTAGTTCCCTATGCAGATGAGGATGGCTGCTGGTGACCGGAATTGGGTAGTTCTATATGCGGATGAGGATGGCTGTTGGTGACCCGGGATTGGGTAGTTCCCTATGCAGATGAGGATGGCTGCTGGTGACCCGGGATTGGGTAGTTCCATATGCAGATGAGGATGGCTGTTGGTGACCCGGGATTGGGTAGTTCCATATGTAGATGAGGATGGCTGCTGGTGACCCGGGATTGGCTAGCTCCATATGCAGATGAGGATGGCTGCTGGTGACCCGGGATTGGCTAGTTCCATATGTAGATGAGGATGGCTGCTGGTGACCCGGGATTGGCTAGCTCCATATGCAGATGAGGATGGCTGTTGGTGACCCGGGATTGGGTAGTTCCCTATGCAGATGAGGATGGCTGCTGGTGACCGGGATTGGGTAGTTCTATATGCGGATGAGGATGGCTGTTGGTGACCCGGGATTGGGTAGTTCCCTATGCAGATGAGTATGGCTGCTGGTGACCCGGGATTGGGTAGTTCCATATGCGGATGAGGATGGCTGTTGGTGACCCGGGATTGGCTAGCTCCATATGCAGATGAGGATGGCTGTTGGTGACCCGGGATTGGGTAGTTCCATATGTAGATGAGGATGGCTGCTGGTGACCCGGGATTGGCTAGCTCCATATGCAGATGAGGATGGCTGCTGGTGACCAGGGATTGGCTAGTTCTGTGTGCAAATGAGGGGACCAAACCCACAGAGGAGGTCAAGTCCACGTGTGTCCAGAGGGCAGCTGCCCTGGGCGTTTGTGGCTCTGCCTGGAGCTCAGTGTCCCAGCTGGTTAGCGACTTAGCAGCTCTGAGAACCGAACTGAGGCCCAAGGCTGCACAGGCCCTGCCTCCCCAGCTCCTCCAACTATTCTCAGAGACCCTCTTAGGATGCTTATTCTATTTTAATTATTTTCTTAGCAAGACGCACTGCCCTCAAGTTACTGGGAAGCAGGAGGTGTCTCGGGGGGTTCAGGCCCGGGATCGCTAATTCAGAAGCTTTGGAGCCGGACACAGCAGACTCCCTGGGGCCTTCCCAGGCAGGGCTGTGAGGGTGGACACGGGTGGCTGGTCTGCTGGAGGAGCGGAGGTGCCCCGGGCCCAGACCAGGAGCCGTGCTGACGCGGAGGGCAGGACAGCTGGTGCAGAGCGGGAAGGGACTCCCCTTCTGCTCAGGCGCTGGGGGCACTGGTGGGCCTCAGTCCGCCCCCCTCAGCAATGGCGACTGTTCTCAGGCGTCCCTCTCGCTCCCTCCTCTCCCCTGAGCCATGGCCGTGCCTTCGAAGGGCAGCTTTCTCAGCCTTGGTAACTAGTAACCAACTAGTAACTTGGTACCTGGAAAGCAGCGTGAAGTTCAGGAGGGCTTTGACCTGCTCTGGGCAATCAGCATGAAAACACATGTGATGGCTGATGTGTGTCCCACCTGCTCGGAGCGTCTGGCTTTGGAGGGAGGGTCCCAGCTGGAGATTCTGCGAGTGCCAGTCAGGGACTCGCCTCCAGCAGGACACGCCACGGGCAGGTCAGCTGCAGGACCCAGAGCTCCGCGCGGGTCAGAGGCGGGTTTCAGCCTGGCCCCCTGCCCGCCGATGCCCGCCCATCGCCTCTCCCTGATCCCGCAGAGCCAGCTGGAGGCCCACCAGGAGGAGGGCATGGTGGTCTCGCACATGGCCATTGCTGGTGTGGGGATTTGGATCGCCTTCACCTCCGGGTCCACGCTGCGCCTGTTCCACACGGAGACCCTCAAACACCTCCAGGACATCAACATAGCCACGCCTGTCCACCACATGTTACCAGGTAACCGGGCGGGGAAGGCGGGTCCTGCAGGCGGAGGGGTGATGGAGACGGGGGGTGTGCGGGGGTCAGGGGCAGGGGGCCAGGGGCGTGCGAGGAGATGGGAGCGGTGTGGAGAGGAGGGGTGGCGTCCGGAGCTGGGACGCAGCCATCTCAGGGTTTCGCAGGTGCCCAGTTCTGTCAGGGCAAGGACACTGCATCTGTCAGGCGGCTCTCTGGATCGGTGGAGAATCAGATTAAAGTGCGGACTGTCTAGCCCAGCGGTTCTCAACCTATGGGTCGTGACCCCTTTGGGGGCCGAACGACCCTTTCACAGGGATCACCTAAGACCATCGGAAAACACATCTATAATTACATATTGTTTTTGTGATTAATCACTATGCTTTAATTATGTTCAATGTGTAACAATGAAAATACATCCTGCATATCAGATATTTACATTAGGATTCATAACAGTAGCAACGTTACAGTTATGAAGTAGCAACGAAAATAATTTTATGGTTGGGGGTCACCACAACATGAGGAGCTGTGTTAAAGGGTAGCGGCGTTAGGAAGGTTGAGAACCACTGGTCTCGCCACAGATCCAGAGGGCGAGACTCAGCATTAGCTTGATGGCTGGGCCCTGGGGCAAGGCCGGCAGCCGGAGCCAGAGGGCGGAGAGTCCCTGGCAGGGTCCTCGGGGTCACAGGCAACACCTCCCTCCCTGGGCATGTGTGAATGTGCATGCGTATGAGCCCACATGTGGGTATGCGTTCATATGTGTCTGAGTGAGAGCATGTGTGCCCACATGCATGTGTGTCCGTGTGCGCACACAGGTGTGTGCATGTGAGCCTGTGCACAAGTGCACATGCATGTGTGCGGTGTGTACGCCTCAGGTCTCCTGGCTTTACTAACAGCGTAAATGGGCGCAGAGATGACCTGTGGCATTTGCTTCGCCTCTGAAGGTGCCAGCCCGAGCGAGGCAGAGCGGGCGGGTCCCAGCGGGCACCTGCGGAGGGGCCGCCCCGGACGCGCTCCCAGGGTCGGGCGTGTCTCTGGTCCCGTGGACGGAGTGCAGGCGTGGTTAGAGCCCTGAGGGTGCTCCCGGGAGGCGTGCTGTTGACATGGGCTCTCTGCGGCCAGGTCCTTCGCATCCAGACAGCACCCTGGCCACCTGGCCCCCGACCCTCTCTGTCCCCGCAGGGCCCCAGCGGCTGTCCGTGACCAGCCTGCTCGTCTGCCACGGCTTGCTGATGGTCGGCACCAGCCTGGGGCTCGTGGTGGCCCTGCCCGTCCCTCGTCTGCAGGGCATCCCCAAAGTGACAGGTGAGCAGACACCTCCGGCCTCCGCCCTCCTGCAGTCCCACTGAGCACCTGGCAATTGCTAAACAATTTAAATTCCCGGGGTTTAGTGTACCTTGGGGACTGTGTGTTCATCTGAGTAACTTCTGTCTTTCTGTCCTGCAGTGTTAGGGAGCATGTGCTGTCATGTGTAGTGTTACAGAACATCCAGGGTTGTACGTAGTGTGCATAATGTTTCCATGTCACACAAGTTTCCCTGGCTGCCTGGTTTCTGAGCTGCGCCCTTGTCCCGCGTGTGACTGGTCCACCCTCAGTGCTGGACAGAGTCCTGGGCTCCACGCCTCATGGTGGCTGCTCGGTCGTCCCCGGGTTCTGGGTCAGGTGCGGTGCCTTGGTGGTGTGGGCACGGCTCCCCTGGGCGGGGGGATGTCGGGCGTGGCGTTGCTGTGAGGAGGGAACATGCTGCTCGCTCAGTCACCAGGTGAGGCCCAGGTGCCTCCCGCTCCCGTGGCCCCGCGGCCCTGCTGCTGCGGGCGTTCTGAATTTCCCAGCTGCCCTTGAGGAGAGGCAGCTGACCACGGCCAAGGACCTGTAATTAGTCGTCGGCTTGGCCAACGTGGGACGCAGGTGGGGCCCGCAGACCTGTCTTGGCCAAAGCCACGCGGCGGGCAGGGACGCGCTTCCTAGGCGCCTCCTCCCCTGGGAAGCCCTCCAGGACTGGCCTTGGGAAGTCAGCCTGCAGGCCCCGGGTTTCAGAGAAAGACCTGAAACCGGAATCTCATCACGTTTTAAGTGAAAAGTCCCCACAGAATTAAAGCCACAGAGTCAGCCTGCCCTGCACCTCAAAACCTTTTTATGATAAAAAATGATGCGTAATTTTTTCATCGAGACTTAGGGAAACCACGCATCCTTAGCGCAGGGGAGAAGGCGCTTACGCAGAGCCCGGGGAGATTACTATTTTATTGCTTTAAAAGCACCACATCGGCCAGGCCAGTGCGGCTCAGTGGGTGAGTGCCAACCCATGCACCAAGAGGTCACGTTTGATTCCCGGCCAGGCCACATGCCGGGTGGTGGGCTTGGTCCCCATAGGGGGCGTGCAGGAGGCAGCCGATCGACAATTCTCTCTCATCATGGATGCTTCTCTCTTTCTCCCTCTCCCTTCCTCTCTCCCTAAAATAAAAAAGTAAAAGCGCGAGGCACTAGAACTGAATACTGTTGACAAAACCCAACACCGTGCTTCCGGCCACCGTTTTGGAAGCTGTCTTCGTATTAACGAAAGCCCAGGGGAACAGCCTCTAGGCCAGCGGCTCTCAACCTGTGGGCCGCGACCCCTTTGGCGGTCGAACGACCCTTTCCCAGGGGTCGCCTAAGACCATCCTGCATCTCAGATATTTACATGACGATTCATAACAGTAGCAACATGACAGTTATGAAGTAGCAACGAAAATAATGTTATGGTTGGGGGTCACCACAACATGAGGAACTGTCTTTAAAGGGCCAGAAGGTTGAGAACCACTGTCTAGGGAGCTATTTTAATTTTAACTGTCACTCAGGCAGTGGGCGTCTTAGCCGGATGTTGTCCCTGGGACACGGGAGACGGTGGGGTGGGCCCGGCGGCTTCCGCTCCAGGCGACAGCTGGTCCCTCTCCCCGCAGGGAGGGGCATGGTCTCCTACCACGCACACCACGGGCCCGTCAAGTTCTTGGTCACGGCCACCGCCGCGCCCAGGGCCGACAAGGACAAGCCCGCGGACAGCCCGCCCCCGGGCCCGGACCCCCCGGAGGAAGACCGGAAGGACGCCGCCCCCGGTGAGGGGGCCGGGCCCTGCCCGAGCCCGGGCGGCCCCGACGCCGTGTGGCTGGGGGGTTCGCTGGGCTCCGTGACGCACAGGAGCGAGCTGTCGGGGTCGTCCGGGTCCCTGGAGCCCAGGCCCGAGGACAGCATCCTCCACGACCTCCTGCGGCACCCCAGCACCCTGCCGGGGGGAGGGCGCCGCGCCCGCAGGGCCAGGGTCAGCTCGGTGCTGGTGGCGTGCGGGGGCCAGGGCCACCGGCGGGTGGGCAGGAGGCCCCGGCAGCAGCGGCCCGAGGAGCTGGCCTCCTCCATCATGGTCTGGCAGATCCCCCTGCTGCACGTGTGACGGGACCACTCAGAGCAGCTTCGGGAAGACATGTGCAATATCGGGGGGGTGGCGGCACCCCTGCCTTCTCCCTGCGGAGAACTGGACCAAGGCGAGCAGGCAGGACATGCGGTGGGAGCCCTCCAGGCCCTGGGGCTCCCCGCGCTCGACCGCCACTGCCACCCGCCAGCACGACCTCCACCCCTTCCCACACCTTCCCGTCCCGTTGCTAGGGGCCTTGCGAGCCGCGCCCACGGGAAATGCGGCGTGTTCCGCGGAGTGGGGGCTCGCTGCCAGTTCCTAAAACGCCCTTCCGGCTCAGAGCCGCTGTGTATTTATATTGTGCGTCTTCATTCCGGGAGGAACCTGAGGCAGTGACGAAAGCCGGGCGGTGTCACTGGCTTTCTGACTCGAGCTGGGTTTCCCGAGGGGTCTCGTGTGCCTATTGTATGTTTTAACAAAGTAGTATTTTTATATTGCATTTTTCTATTAAAAACTAACAGCTAATTCTTAGTGCATATATTATCGGAAATGTTGCATAGATGTTTGCTTTGGACCAAAATGCGTGATGCCTGTCCACATTCAGAGTCCGGCGTCGGCGGCCGGCTCACAGGCAGGAGCGGGGACCCTCCCCCCCCCCCCCCCCCCCCCCCGGCTGGAGGGCGCCCTCCGTCTCGTAGGAGACGCGAGAAAGCTCATGGCTCCTTGATGCTGTGTCTGCGCCCGTTGGCCTGAAACGCTGTTGTCCTGGTGCTGGCCTGTGGCTGTGCCATTGCGGGGGTGGACGGGCCCTGAGGGGGCCCCCCACCCCGATCCCAGGGCCTGGCGTCCCTCAGGTTCGCTGGCCGCCTGCAGCCAGCGGGGAGCCATGCGAGGAGCAGGTGCAGCCACTGCTCGGCGTGAACACGCGCCAGCATGCACTCCTCTCACTGACGATGACGACACGGAGGCGGCGCCCCCCAAATAGCTCCCAGCACTTTCCGGGGGACCACACGCTCATGTCATGACTGAGTCACATGTTTTCCAAGGTGCTTGCCCGTCCCCGGTGACGGTAACTCGGCCCCGGCTGCCTTACACGGTCGGCTGCTCTCTCCTCTCGTAACAAAGCCTTTTTATTTAAAAATACAACTGCGAGTGCCTGTCCCCCACCAAACACAGGGAGACGGCACGCGGAGCGGAAGGGGCCGGTCCTTTCAGAGTCCGTCTCCACCGGCCGGCGGGACCCGCGTGCTCCGAATCTGAAGCAGGAGCCGAGCCGGAGCCGAGAGGCCCGTGTCCCCAGCAGCTTTGTTCTGACTGACGCCTCGAGGCGCATGGGCTGCATGTAAAGCAGGGCCAGGTTCGAGGGCACGAGCCCCGATGAGATGGGGGCGTTTCAGGGGCCTGGCGGGGCCGCAGCCACTCGGACGCCTTCGGTGCCGGGCTCGGAAGGCGTGCTGGTCGGCAGCGATGCCTCCATAACAAATTCCTTATTTTTTTAAAAATAAATCTTCATTGTTGAAAGTATTACATATGTCCTCTTTTTTTCCCATTGATCCCCTCCAGCCCGCCCCCGCCCCCGGCCCCAGGCCCTCGCCACCCCGTCTGCTGGGCCCCAGGCCCTCGCCACCCCGTCTGCTGGGCCCCAGGCCCTCGCCACCCCGTCTGCTGGGCCCCAGGCCCTCGCCACCCCGTCTGCTGGGCCCCAGGCCCTCGCCACCCCCGTCTGCTGGGCCCCAGGCCCTCGCCACCCCGTCTGCTGGGCCCCAGGCCCTCGCCACCCCGTCTGCTGGGCCGTGCATATCTGCTTGCGAGGCCTTTGGTTGATCACCTCCCGCCCACTCCCCCGCCCCCCAGCCTTCCATCTGAGATTCCGCACTCTGTCCCTGCTTCCACGTCGCTGGATCCACTCTGCTCGTCAGTTCATTCTGTTTCAAGTAACAGGCTTCTCAGGGCTGAGTGGGTGAGAATCAGGAACCTCCCTGCCGGACGCGGAGGCCTGCGTTCAGGAGCCGCTACAGTCACTGCCCGGGGGTCGGAGTCCTGCCCGCTCCGTGCCACCAGCTGTCCCTCCAGCTGCACCATCCCTCCATCACCCGCCGCCTCTCAGAGCCGGGCTCCTCCCGGGCAGCAAGAGCCACAGCGGCCGGGGCCTTGTTCACACCCCTGCCCGGCGGCTCCGAGACTGACCGTCCACCGAGGAGACCCGTCGCTGTGACCTGCTTGCGGCTCTGTTCTGTGCTGGGCGAGGCCAGGCCCGCTCTGCCCCTCTCACCCAGAACCCAGGTCTGAGCAGGGGTCCACGCGGGCCCGGTTTCTTCCCCCTTTCAGACGCCAGAGGGCCTTACGTGGGGTTGGCCCCCAGTGCCCGAGCAGCAGCCCGCACAGGGGACGTCAAAGCCACAGGTGTGGTGAGTTTGGGACGGAGCTGAGGACTGAATGTGTCCCCCCAAGTTCAGGCGTTCCATCTTAACCCCAAGGGGACGGTGTCAGGAGGTGATGAGGCATGAAGCCCATCGGTGTCCCTACAGAACCCCAGAGCTCCAGCCCTCCCGTCAGGTGAGGTCACAGCAAACCCTCCCACACCCAGTCTGCTGGCCTGGGTCTGGGACTTCTAGTCTCCAAGGGGTGAAGGAGGCTGCCACCCCGACTGTCCCCCAGTTCCCTACCGATGGGTGCTGCCCTACCCTGCAACCTACACTCTCCTTCCCCCTCCCCCCTCCCTCCCTCCCTCCCTGGCCACCTGGACTGCTCTGCCCCAGGCCCTTGTCTAGCAGCGTGAGGTCCGAAAGGTTGGCGACTGTTGGTCTAGGGCACCTGGGCCCAGGCAGGAGCGTCCCCCTGGCCTTGAGGGAGGCAGGTCCTGTCTGAGTGGAGGCTTGCAATGTAAAGAGTTAACCAGACATCATGCGGAGAGGTGTTCCACACCCCTACACACGCACACACACACAGTGCACACGCACGCCCACACACACGTACACACAGCTACGAACATCATGTGCACACATGCACACGGCCCACACGCATGCATGCACGGGCACACCCACACACGCACACACATGGACGCGCACGCACATGCACATGCACATGCCTCACACACACACTCTCCTCCAGGCTCCCTGCCCTCCCTGCAGGCTCTTGGGACGCTGTTTACCTGGTGGAAAAGGCAGGAGACAGCTGGCAGGGCCCTGGTTGGCTTGGCTGCCCCCGGGACTCTCTCCAGTGAGCTGGGAAGAATTAACCCCTGAAATGCAGGTCAGAGGGCTCCCGGGACCTGGTGGCTTTGTTGGGGTGAAGCCCGGCGTAGCCCTGCAGCCTCCTTGGGGGGCTGAGAATGCCACCCAGGCCCTGGGAGGTGGGGTCACGCCTCCCGCTGCCCAGGCCTGAACCCAGGGCCCCTTCACCTGCTTCCGAGAAGGATGCACAGTGGGCAGGACACAGCCCCCCTGGTCCTTGTCCCCTGTGATCAGAGGGGACAGTGGTAGCCACCCCTCCTCTCAGAGCGGCCCCCACACCCGACAGGAAGGACGGGGAAGGTGCCTCCGCAGGCTTCTCAGGGCAGCAGCCCTGGGGGGGGTGTGTGTGTGCCCGTCCCCCCATGTCACAGATGAGGACGCCGAGCTCGGAGTCGCGGGGGGGAGGAGGGGGTGTTGCCCAAGGTGACTGCCAGGGAGAGGCAGACGCTGAGAGCTGGGGGTGCCCCTGGGTGGCACCGAGGCAGGTGCCGCGGCTGAGCCTCTGGTCAGGGGCGCTGACCGTCTGTGACTGAGCCGGCAGGGACCTGGGCAGCCCGCGTCCATCAGCAGAACCTGCCAGAATCAGGGGGACAGGCTGGGATCCCAGGGGAGGAGGGGTGAGATGGGGACCCGTTGCCGGCAGCTGGGGGCTTGGCCAGGGGCCAAAGCGAACACACAGACACGGGGACCTCATGCCCCCTCGTGTGCGCTGCTCCTGCGGGCGCCGCTCCTGCAGCTCGGTTTAAACAGCAGGGGCGGGGGGCGGGGGTGGGGGGGCCGCTGGCAGGAAAAGCCGCACCAGACGGCCTGGCCGGAGCTCTGGAGGGAGGCAGCGCTGCCTCACAGGGACCCGTGGGGCGGGCACTGGGCCTGGCAGAGCCGCCTCCTGAGGGGACCGGAGATGCCACCTTCTGTCCCAGGATGCTGTGCGGTGGCTGAAGTGTGGGGCGTGTGCAGGAGGCGGGGTGGGCGAGCTGAGATGGAGGGCCGTGTGCCTGCTCCGTCCCGCCTCCTGCTGTCCCTGGTTCCCGGACACCCGCGAGGGGGCCTGGGCGAGGAGTGAGGCCGCGGACGCACTGCGCGGGCCGGTCAGGTAAGCAGTGAGGGCTCACCCAACATGCCTGCTTGCTCTTTCGTTGTTTGGGTTGTCTTGGCGCTGACATATGGGATCCTCTCTGTCCAGCTGGTGGTTGTCAAGCTGGACGATGGTCACCCCCCGGGGGGACATTTCCGATGCCTGGGGACATGGCTGCTTGTCACTGCCAGTGAGTCCCAGGAGCATGGAGGTGGCGGGGATGCGGGCAGGTGCCCCGGAGCGCTCAGGGCGGCCCCAGGCGTCAGCCCCACGCAGGAACCCCCCTCCTTGTCCGGGCCCCTCCTCCCCCGCCCCCCGGAGACCCAGCTGCTGGCCCGCAGTGGAGCCAGGGGCCCTTGCTCCTCCGGGTGTCCTGAGTCACGCAAAGTGCGAGGCCCCAGAAAACCTCTGCGTGTGGTGCTTGGATCCCAAGGACATAAAGGAGGACGGACTGTGAAACACACGGTGGCCTGGCCGTGGGGGCTCAGGGGGCAGCGTCGGCCTGCGGACCGGAAGTGATCTTCCGATGTCACCAACTAAGGGGCTGGAGATGAGACGAGGGTCCTGGATTATCGGGGCGGCCGGGGTCCCCTGGGTCCTTAGCAGAGGGGACGTCTGCCCCGGAGAACGGGTGCAGGGTCAGGAGAGGGTCCCCCGAGGCTGGGCCACCCGATGGAGCGTCCACCGGGGGTGATGTCGGCGTCGAGCCAGAGAGCATCAGGCAGGGACCTTGTGGGGGAGAACGTGGAGGCAGCCAGCAGGCCGGATGCAGCTCAGAGCCCGTTCACAAACATTTCACCCCCAAACCCCTAATTTTTCTGAAGTGCATCCCTAACTCCACAGTGACACACTGTTTGAAAAGACCAAGGGTGGGTATTCCAACAGTACCACTGTGTGCCGTGTCCCTGCGTGGCCGTGTCCCTGCGTGGCCATGCTACAGGGATTTCTCAAGGATGAGCAGCTGCTGTGTGTCCTGGTGGGACGGGCGTCCTGGGCCAGCCCTGACCTGAGACCACAGAGTGAGTGTGTGGCTGTGAAACGTAATACAAAGGACATAGCTGTGCCTTTTGTCTGTTTAAACCTTTTGCATTTGGCCAGCGAGTCACTGTTATGGATTGAAAATGAGAAAACAGTTCACTGGCCACGGTAGGTGGTTTGGGAAGGATGCTCATGCGGAAAAGATTCACAGCCTTCCCAGGGACTTGTCGGGATGGCCGTGACTGAGGCCACGGGGGGGGGGGGGGAGGGGCGTGACCGAGGCCACGGGGGGTTCAGGCAGCAGGACATCACCTCTCACAGCTGGAGGCCGTGGGTCAGAGGTCAGGGTGTCGGCGGGCAGGCTGCTCTGAAGGCCCCGGGAGACTCCCGGCTCTGCTGTCTGCTGGCTCCTCGCTGTCCTCATCTTGTGGCCCCGTCAGTGGCCCGGGTCCGTCATCACGTGGCACATCCTGTGCGTGTCTGTGCCTGACTCTCCTCTTCTGACGCGGACACGGACCCACAGAACCAGGGCCCCCTGCCGACTCCGCCCGATCACCGCATACAGACCCGTCCCCCCAGGGCACACCCCGCGGTCGGGGTAGGGCCCAGCTTGTCTCTTTGGAGGGGACACACGTCCACTCACACTCCAGGCTCTGGAGCTGGAGCTGCTCTGTGGCAAAGGCCCTTCTGTAGTTCACACGTCGGAGGGTTTGCTATTGAGAACCGGCGGTGGAAATAGTTTAGAAGCTATCGCCTGCTTGTTTCTATTTCTTTTCAAAGAAGGTTTGTTAGAATCAACACTCACAAACCTAATGGTTGTGTGTCTGCTCCATTGACGAGAGCGTGTTGGCTCCCGGTAGCTTCGGGCCACTCACTGCAGGCGAGGGCCCAGCACACGGGCGCCCACGGAGGATGCGAGAAGGGACCACAGGAGGCGCCTCGTGGTCCACCGAGTCTGAAACCACTGAGTACGCACGCCGCCTGCAGCGCCGGGCGGGGCTCCGGGCTGCAGGCGGGTCCCTTTTCGCATCTTCAAATAGGACCACGGGGGCCTGGTCCACGCCAGGGGCTGCCTGGGGAGTTGGCAGTGACCCACGGGCACACAGTGGCCCAGAGCACGTGGGAGCGCAGCGCTGCCCCCGCATGAAGCTCGCAGCCCCTGGCCTGTAAGACACTGGGGACAGCTCCCACGTGAGGGGAGACCTTCAGGGTATTTGGGAGCAGCTCACAAAAGAGGCAAGTGCACCCCGAGTTCCTCAGCGTGGGAGGGAGGCCACGCAGGAGTGAGCGTGGGGGCGGCAGCTTTCCTTCCTCACAAAAGGGACGGAGCTTTAAAGGCAACAACGGATATTGTTGCAGCGCGGCTCACAGACTGTAATTACAGTTTCGTGCCAGGAGACGCCGAGTACTGTGGCCATTGGATCCATTCCTGACAGCTACTGGAATTTAACGGCTGCTTTTTGGAAAGCTGGTGGGGGCGGGGGGGAGGGGAAGGGGGGCCGGGAACTCTCAGGGCCATTGAAGGCTTCGGGAAATGATCTAGAATTTGGCATCAGGACACACAGTGCTCCGTGTCTGTCCCCACAGGTTCAGAACCAGGCCCGGGACTGTCAGCCACCTCCCCCCGTGCGTCTTGGCACTGGGCGTGCGCGTGATATCTGCGTGCGGAGGCACATCCCTGAGGGGCAGTGACAGGATCAGACCTGATACCAGGGAGTCCTGCTCCCGGGTTGCCCCCCCCAAGTGCAGTGCACACACCATCTCGGCCCCCGCACCCCCATTTTCAGAAGAGAATGGTGGGGCATAGGGCACGAGGATAATGGCCCCAAGTCACAAGACCTGCAGATGGTGACACTGGTGTTTGAAACCCTACCTGTGAACCCCCAATGTGGGCCGGAACCGGTCACCGGGCTGTGGTGTTTGGGGCGCACACCTCACACCCAGGACAGCCCTGGGAGCAGCTTGCTCAGCGATACCTGTGTGTGCGTCTTCAAGTCTACAGCCTCCAAGTGGAGACTCGAAATAGTAACATCTCATCACGGTGGGCTACTCCCGAAGCGTGTTATTTAAACACGGTGAGCGCCCAGCCTGTTTTGTCTTCCGGACGGAAAGTATAGTGTCAGTCACCGGTGACCGACTGGGCGCTTAACGTGTTAACCTTTAGGATGGGCCTTCCTCCTTCTTCACATGATCGCCCCCAGGTTCTGTTTTGGGGACCCCTGGAGGCCCCGGGACTAATTTAGTCATGGCATGTCCCTCTGCGGTCTCCGCTGACGGTGTCGGGGTGCCGCGCACTTTAACGAGGAAATACCTACAGTCTGATAGCAGGCGGGGTCCCCACACGCCTGACTGCCTGCATCAGGGGTCCTCAAACTTTTTAAACAGGGGCCAGTTCACTGTCCCTCAGACCGGTGGAGGGCCGGACTATAGTTTAAAAAAAAACTATGAACAAATTCCTATGCACACGGCACATATCTTATTTTGAAGTAAAAAAAAAACCAAAATGGGAACAAATACAATATTTGTATTTGCATGTGGCCCACGGGCCGTAGTTTGAGGACCCCTGGCCTACATGGTTGGTGCAGGGGTTTAAGTTCACTCGCCGAGTTTTTTCACTCTGAGCATAAACGGCGACTGAGAACCTAGTGTGTGCCAAGCACGGCAAGCCCAGTGGGAAGAAAAGGTAAGTGTGCCCGCCCCCGGGCGCCGGGAGCGTGCAGAACCGTCCAGAAGACGGGCCAGGCGGCCAGCACCGAGGAGGGGACAGCCAGTGTCCTGGGGCTCCCCTGCAGAGGCAGGCCAGGGAGCCAGAGGGAGCGGAGGCTGCGGGTCCCCCCCAAAGATGCTCTTCAAAACCATGGGGGCTGGGAGGCGGAGGCCTGGCTGGGAAATGACTTTATTTTATTGATTTATTTTTGAATACATTTTTATTGATTTCAGAGAGGAAGGGAGGAGGGATAGAAACATCAGTGATGAGAGATAACAGTTCATCAGCTGCCTCCTGCAGGCTCCTACTGGGGAGGGAGGCTGCCCCCTGGCATGTGGGCCCCCTCCCCCCGGAAGGGAACCTGCCCCCTGGCATGTGGCCCCCCTCCCCCCGGAAGGGAACCTGCACTCTGGCATGTGGGCCCCCTCCCCCCGGAAGGGAACCTGCACTCTGGCATGTGGGCCCCCTCCCCCCGGAAGGGAACCTGCACCCTGGCATGTGGCCCCCCTCCCCCCGGAACGGAACCTGCCCCCTGGCATGTGGGCCCCCTCCCGCCGGAGCGGAACCGCACCCTGGCATGTGGGACCCCCTCCCCCCGGGGCGGAACCTGCACCCTGGCATGTGCCCTGACCAGAGATCGAACCGGCAACCCTGGCAGGGCCCTAGGCAATGGGCTTTGAACCACTGACTTTGTCAACAACACCCCATCCCTACCAGTTTACAAAACGAGATACACACGGAATCCCATTATTTCGGGGTGTCCTAGGGGAGGTGGGTGGACTGAGAGAGGCCGCGGCAAGGCCTCCGTTTCTCCGCGGGGGTGGGGGGGTTCACAGGCACCATCCCCGGGGAGGGTCCTGGGCGCCCCGTGCACAGGGGACGCGCCTCCCGTGCGCGCTCCTGCCCGGAGCCCCTTCCCGCGGGAGCTCGGCGCCCAGGGAGCCTCCGAGAGCGCCCCCCCCCCTCGCCCGGCCCCGGCCCCCCTCCTCCCCCGCCCGCGCCGGCGCGCTCCACGCGGAGCCGCCCCCCGCCCCCCACTCCCGCGCAGCCCGCGCTCCTCCCGGCGGCTGGGCCTCGCTGTCGCGGTGAGTGCGGGGCGCTGGGCCGCCTCCGGGAGCGGTGCGGGCGGTGCGGGCGGTGCGGGCGGTGCGGGCGGTGCGGGGGGTGCGGGGCGCTGGGCCGCCTCCGGGTGCGGGCGGTGCGGGCGGTGCGGGCGGTGCGGGCGGCGGGCACTCGCACAGGTGCCGGGAGGAGGCCCCGCGCACGCGCACCGGGGACCCCGGGCCGCGTCCCGAGCTCGGGGAGCGCCGGGCAGCGGGCGAGGCGCCGGCGGCGAGGTAGGGTGGCCGGTGGGGACGGGAGGAGGCCTCGGCGGGACGCCCGGGACGCGCGAGACAGTGGAGCCGGGGCGGGAGGAGGGGGCGGCGGCGGGGGGGGTGCGGATGGGGGCGCTGATGGGGGCGCGGGCCGCCCAGGACTGGGAGGCGGCGGGGGTGGCAGCCTGGCGTGGGGGGCGGTGAGGGTGGGCGGACCTCGGTCCTGGACGCCCGCGTGGATAGGGGCCCACCCGCGGGGACCCCCCCCCCCCACCCAGTGCGCTCCCGCGGGAAGCGGAGCCGCCGGCCTCAGGCGCTGAAGGGGGGGCTCGGAGGACACGGCGGGTCCCGCCACCGACTCGCGTCCCCACGCGCGGCCGTCTGAGCGGCTCGGAGGAGCCGCCCGCGCCCGCTGCGCGCCCCTGGGAGGCGGCCGGGCGCGCAGCCACGGTCTTGGCTGGCGGGTCGGGGCTGAGCCGCTCGCTCCCAGCTGCCCGGGCGGCCGGCGGGGACCCCAGGACGCGGGCGAGGGGGGGACCTCCGGGCCTGGGCCCTGGGGCGGGAGGAACGAGCTGGAGTTGGGGGAAGCCGCGCTCCGCGCCTGCGGGCACCTGGGTGGCTCTGGCCCCGGAACCGCCGGTCCCGCTCCTCCTGCACCCCCCCCCCGCCCCCGGGTTCTGGGCTCCCGAAAACCGCACGCTTTGTTTCGCGGAGCCTTTGCCCCCCTGACCGCGCGGCCGTGGCGGTGCCTGGGCGCCTGTGCACGTGCCCGGCGTCAGGATGGGACGGGGTGGGAGGGGGCCGAGAAGTCGCCTCACTGACCCGGAGCCCGCGGGCCGGCTCATCCCGCAGCGGCCCAGGCCCGCACCTCTCACCCCGCCCTGTGCTCCCCAGGTGACCCCCTTCCCCAGGCCTCGCCCTGCCCCCGTCCCCATCCGCGCCCCTGTGCTGGGCACCGGCCTCCGAGCGGGCCTGGGCGGCTCCTGGGACCTTCAATAGGGAGGGTTTTAAACTGGCCCTGGCCGGTTCCTGGGGGTTAGAGCCCAGCCCAGATGTGGCCAAGGCTGTGGGTTAGAGCCCAGGTCTGGGCACTTTTACAAGAATCAACCAATGAATGAATGAATGAATGAATGAATGAATGAATGCGGGAATAAGTGGAACCACACATCCCTCCCTCCCCCCTCCCTCTCACTCTCCCTCCCTCCCTCCTCCCCCTCCCTTCCTCCTCCCTCCCTCCCCCTCCCTCCCTCCTCCCCCTCTCTAAAATCATTTTTTAAAAGTTCACCACCTCTTAGGTCCCTACACAGCCGCCTTCCCTGTGCGCCTCTCCCCGGGTCTGTTCTGAGGGAAAATGACAAACCCAGGTGATAGGGGCCTTATTTCTTCAACCCACTCCAGGCAGGTGACCCTCAGATCGTCAACTCCTGCCCCCCCCCCCCCCCCAGCAGCAGCCACTAGCTGATGATCCGGGTGTTTAGGAAGCGGGACGGGGGCAGGCGCCTCGTCTCCCAGCTGAGGTCTCCTGGCTAGAGCACCCGTCTCCAGAGCTGAGCCCGGAAGCCCTCGGACTCTTGCCAGGGCCGGCCCAGGTCTGCCCGTCATGGCCCTTGGCATTCGCTGGGAACCAGGCAAAGACTCCAATGAGACAGGAAGCCTTTGAGCTTCCCCTGTGCCTGCAGGCAGCCCTGGGAGGCGCAGGAGGAGGCTGTGCAGGGATGTGCTGGCCCGTGGAGGGCGGGCCTGGCTGCAGGGGAACCGGAGCGAGAGGCTGTCCGTCCTGGAGTGAGCGAGAGGCGGTCCTGGGGTGACTGTGCTTGTTCTGGTTCTGGTCACACGGTGGGAGTCCTGCCCCCACGCACAGCACCCTGTGACGGAGCAGGTGAGGGCCTGGGTGCGAGGGGAGCAGGCCAGGGCCTGTGACGGGGAGCAGGTGAGGGCCTGGGTGCGAGGGGAGCAGGTCAGGGCCTGGGTGTGAGGGGAGCAGGTCAGGGCCTGGGTGTGAGGGGAGCAGGTCAGGGCCTGGGTGCGAGGGGAGCAGGTGAGGGCCTGGGTGTGAGGGGAGCAGGTCAGGGCCTGGGTTCGAGAGGAGCAGGTGAGGGCCTGGGTGTGAGGGGAGCAGGTGAGGGCCTGGGTGCGAGGGGAGCAGGTGAGGGCCTGGGTGCGAGGGGAGCAGGTGAGGGCCTGGGTGCGAGGGGAGCAGGTGAGGGCCTGGGTGCGAGGGGAGCAGGTCAGGGCCTGGGTGCGAGGGGAGCAGGTGAGGGCCTGGGTGCGAGGGGAGCAGGTGAGGGCCTGGGTGCGAGGGGAGCAGGTCAGGGCCTGGGTGTGAGACCATCGCTCCCATTGGGACCACCTGTCTGAGCGCCCCCACAGCTGCTGGTCTGGCCCCCCTCGTTTCGTGTAAGCAGCAGCCTCGTCAACAGGAAAGCGGGGCTTGTTTTGAGCTCCAAGTGCGCTTTTGGTGCCTTTGTCCCTCCACCTACCCGGGGAGGCTGCCCGCGGCGAACGCCTCCTCGGCTGGTGTGAGCTGTTTGCTGAATGCCAGCAGCATCGTTGCTCGGTGACGCTCGCTGTGTGGGAAGCTGGAGGCACGCAGGCAGCTGGAGGCTGCCCAGCCCACGGCCGCTGAGGCTTGGGGGCCGGGACGCCTGGCTGTGGCCTGAGCGGGTTTCGGACCAGGAACCGGCCCTGTCCTGGCGATGGAGGGTGGCCGACAGCTGCCCTTCTCTGGAGTCCGTCGTGGCCTTGAGTTAGGTTTTCCTAGTGACATGACTGCAGTTATGCTAACATCATACTCTCGGTGCCCAGCCCATGTCTGCACAATCATTAACAGTGAGCGTTTGGAATAAGATCGAAACTTCGAGGAGCTTAACCATTTGCAACGCCCCGGCTCCTGCCAAAGGGGGTGCCTGGGACACGGAAGCCCCTCTCTGTCTGCGGGTTACACATGAATCTCCTGTCACAAATATTTATTGAATGCCCACCATGGCCAGGCACAGGTCCGCGTGCTGGGGGTACAGTGGCCAGTAAAACGGACCCAGTGCCCACGCCTTGCAGCTGAGATTCTAATAAGGCGAGGGGCCTTAACAGGGAATCAAGTTAATTCACGTGCAATGAGCTGAGACAAGGCCTGTGAAAGCCCCGGGCAGAGGGATCTGGAGCTGAGGTCTGCGGATGAGGAGGATGAGAAGGAAGAGCAGTGCAAAGGCCCTGTGGTGAGGGCCGGGCGCACAGGAGCACCGAGGGGCCGCCAGGCAGCACCCCTCGCCGTGATTCTTCTTCCTGATTAGCTGTGGTGTTTCTTGTGTGAAGGTCAGTGGAGCTTTATGCTGTAGGGCTTGATGGAGGATGTGGGACGTGGGTTAATTTTACAGAACTGAGATCGCCTGAGTCCTAAAGGGACAGCATCACCCAGGATGGGGTACATACAATGTTTCAATGCCGTTGTTACTATCCTATATAATAAAGAGGTAATATGCAAATTAACCCTCACACCCTCACAAGATGGCTGCTTACAAACAGACTAGCAAGGGGGGTGGGGTTAGTGAGGGACGACCAAACGGCTGAACAAGCAGGCTGTGTGGGGCGACTAGGCTGGCATGGGGGGGGGAGTTGGGGGTGACCAGGCCAGCAGGGGGGGCAGTTGGGGGCAATTAGGCTGGTAGGGGGGAAGTGAGGGGTGACTAGGCTGGCAGGGGGGACAATTGGGGGCAACCAGGCTGGCAGGGGGGGCAGTTAGGAGTGACCAGGCCGGCAGGGGGGCAGTTAGGGGTGACCAGACAGGCAGGCAGGTGAGCGATTAGGAGCCAGCAGTCCAGGATTGTGAGAGGGATGTCCGATTGGGCCTAAACCAGCAGTCGGACATCCCCCGAGGGGTCCCGGATTGGAGAGGGTGCAGGCTGGGCTGAGGGGGACCCCCCTCATGAATTTCGTGCACCAGGCCTCTAGTTTTATCATAAGGTCTTAGATTCGTGGGGGACGGCTGAGTGTGGGTCCCCGGATCTGCCACCTTTGTCCACGCCACGTCATCGCTGCTTTTACCGCTGCCGACGTTTCCGTGTGGGCTCTGCCTCAGTCTGGTCCCCTCGATCAGGTCCTCGTACGTCGTCAGAGTGGCATTTACGGACACAAGTCCTGTCATGGCGGCTGCCGCGGCTCCCCGTTGTCATGGGAGACGGCCCACAGCCCTGAAGGTGGTGGCCAGAGCTGCTTTCTGATGAGCAGTTGTTCCACAGTGTGCCCGCCCCAGCCTGCAGGCCTGCGTCCCCCAAACCCTTATGTGGAAGCGAAAACCCTTATGTGGAAGCGAACCCCAGTGCACTGGGGTTAGGAGGTGCAGAGACATGGCAGCCCCTCTCCCTGTCCTTCTGGTCACCCCCTTTCGTCCCTTTCCCAAGGACACTGGCAAGTGCGGGGAATAGGCTGATGTGGGCAGTCTCTTGGCCCGAACACGGAGCCCCATCTGCGGCCACGGTTCTGCCGGCTCTTGGGCTTTGAAGCAACCGTTGGAAGTCGATGGGCCTTAGACTTCTCTTTGCTCTTCTGCTTCTGGAATTGTGATGGTGAGGGCAGTGGGAAGGGCTGGGTCCCACCTCTGTCTTCATTAATTAGCTGGTGACCTTGGGCGGTCGCTCCCCTCTCGGGCCCCAGCTCCCCGTTTTGGGCAGGGGAGGCTTGAACTGGGTCTCTCCGCAGCCTCTAACACGACCCCGCTGCGAGAGGGGGGCTGGGGCCCGCTCAGCCCGAGACTGTGGGCCTCAGATGCAGCGGTCCGAGGTCAGCATTTTCCCCTTCAAACCCCAGCCTACATCAGGCTCAGGGGGTAGCAAAGCCTGAGTTTTAAAACCGACACCTTTCTTTTCCAGGATTCTCTACCTAGAAGCCCAGGATGATGAGAGTATGCCTTGCTTTTACTACGTTCTCCTGCCAAGCACTGCGCTCTGTGGGGCCCGACCATTTCATTTTATACATAAACACCCGTGCACACGCACGCAAATGTACACACATACACACACGCACATACA